AAAAAAAAAACTAAGAGACCCATGCTGTTCTGTAGCAGCGGGGCTTCTAAAATATCTTTGACCTGAATGGAGAGAAACTTTGACAGTCAGCAAAGTTTATTTAAAAAGTCAAACAATAACTGTTTTGGATTTTGCAGACCATACAGCTATCATCTCTGCTGTCATAGAGTGAAAGTAGCTGTTAGTGATCATGTACATAAATAATCATGTTTGTATTCCAGTAAAACTTTATTCTTGCTCTAGAGGAATTAAAAAGTAGGAATTTTTTGTAATAGTACATAATGGTTGACATTGATTACATAAAGTAGCATATCTATTAAAAAGCTGAGTTAAAATAAGAAAGGATTGTTTCTTTTTATTAACTTAATATTTGTGAGGTAGTTCCTAAATTGTCTTATATGTTCCAGTTGCAGTCTCAACAGTCAGACTTTTTAACTTTTGTGTGTTTTTTTTTTAGAAAAAATCTAGAGGAAGTGCTCTAGCACCCAGTCATTCTTTTGATGTCCGAGTGCTAACACAGTTGGTAAATATTTTAAAATACATTGCTTCTTAGAATAACAAGAATTGAATTACTTGTATTTAGGTTTATAATTCGACAGTAAAATAATTTTAGAGGTATAAGAAATTATATGAAATGTCTAGTTAAAAGAAAGCGCTCAAGAAATGTTAAAATCTTTTAAAGCCTTTTACCTGAAGGCTCTCAAGTAGATACCTGTTTTATTTATTTATTTATTTATGGAACCAGGGATTGAACTCAGGCCCTTGTACTTGCCAGGGAAGCACTTATTCCACTGAGTCATCTCCCTGGCCCCGATACCTGTTTTAAAGATATTTATGTGGATAAACACACCTGTGTGTTCATGCATTTATTTAAATATTTTGAGTTGTAGATTTTATAAAGTTACAATTCTTAGCAATTTAAAGCTAAAAGATATTTACGCATAGATGTGCCAAGGGTTGCCAAATAATTTAAAATAGATTTATACCACCTCTGATTTGATAAAATCACAAAGTTTCGTATTTCTGTATGGCTGCTATAGTTACTGTATGGTTTCTTTGGAAATTCAAAACGAAAAAAAGCATTAACACTAATTATTCCTAAAAGTATATATGCTTTTGATTAGTAAATATCTATAATAGACAAGGATATAACCATATTTTTAGGAAACTTTTCAGTATCATACTGGACTTTGACATGGAAAAATATTACTAGGGGTTACAGTATTTTTAGCTAAATAAAATAGAATAAAAGCCAATTGACTAATGGTCATTTTAATTTCTTTATCTTATTTTTTTTAAGTATAAGAGCATTACTGAGCTGTCATTGATCTTAAGCTTCTCAAAACATGTTCC